TGCAGGATAGGCATGTCCTCAAAAAAAGAAAAGGTTATATTAACATGAAACAGAAGCTATTTTTCTTTTGCAGGACATTGTCACAGCCATCAAAGAGAAGATAAGCCAAAGATTCCCACTGAAAGAATCACTAGCTTGTGAAAGAAGTCTAAGATGCATGTGGAAAAACTGTTTTAGCAGTGTCTCTAAATAGACGTTAGAATAGTTAGCTTATGTTGGAAGTAAGGAGAGCTAAAAATTGTGTGTGCCAAGAACTATTGTTAGGATTTACACATGTACCATTAATCAAGATAAATCAAGACATTTCATTAAACAAACTGCCTAAAGCTCTAATTAAGATTATAATAGTCTTTAGGCAAATAAAAATTGATTAGGGATAAAAGCTTCCTGTAATTACACAACAGGTAAGAACAATACTTTGCTTATAACACTTGGCCAGAAAATTATATATTTACCAATATGCTAATAAGCACTTATCACATGCATTAGGAAGATCAGCCTGCCCTGGAGGCTAGCAGCCAAGACTGTCAGGTTGAGGGGAGGAAAATAAATAAATGAATGAAATAAAAATCAACCAACCCACAAACCAAAACCAACCAACCTTACCTGCCTCCACCCGAAAACCCCAAACTTGGAACACACAGATCTAGAACTCACCTTTGCCAATATGCCGCCTCGTATTCTCAATGGTGGAATTCCGATTAACATTCGAGAGCAGCCCAAGACAGAATCTGTTTTTGTTGTTGGACGGATCAGTGAAGCCATCGACCAGCACGCTCGTGGAAGAAGCGTGGAAGGCCTCCCCGACACGGTTATTGAGCTCATAATAGACGATGGAGCACCAGTGCTTCGGCTCTTCGTAAGCAACCGCCTGAACATCTGTAAAGCAACCAAGGAAACGTGACAGTCTAACAGCACGGGAAAACAGGCTTCGCATTTAAAGAGTTATAAACCTGCAGATTTTGGCTTAAGATCACTGAAAGATGATCTGGATAAGCAACTGCAGTTAAATGAAGGCTCTTCTGTCTTCAGTTATTTTTGACTTTTTCAGAGCCGCAGACATACACAAGAGCAATTTTACATCAATGTTACCTGCACAAGACTCACAAGAGAAAAAAGTCAGCACTAGGTACCCACAAAAACGCGCGTGAAGCTCCCAAGCACGTACCAAGCAGTGCCCCACCACCTCTGCTGCATTTTTTGCAGCACACTATGGTGTAAACTAGACAGCAGAGAAATGCTGCAATTACACCGCTCAACTTTCTTTCTAATCTAGTAAATTAACTGCAGTTAATTTACTTCAGTTCATTTCACTCAGCTAGCAAATTAAAAGCAATGACTGCGCATACTGCAGGGCTCTACACTGCCAGGCAGAAACAGCAACAAACAATTGCACAAGCGCTCACTCTAACTTTGGGTACCAAGAAGTATAGCACAAGGGCTTAAATATTCAGCCAATCTTTCAGCATTCGGGGCTGCACAAATCTTTGTCCTGGACTTTCGGAGGGAAGGGCAAGAAGACTTCCAAAACAAAAACAGATTGCTCTTTGCCAGCAGAAGCAGCGTGAGGCAGAGCTTAAACGTGAATATACACTACTCGGGACCCGAGGCTGAACGAGGGCATAACGTACATAATCCTAACAATTACGCTGGAATAAAGAGTGGATGAAGCCAAAGAAGGTATTATTTTTTGAGAACCTTCTGCTCATCAAGCGCTAGCAAATGCAAAATCTTAAATTGTTCATTACCAAAACAATTATTTGTTGAGTAATAGCAAAGATTTCTCACAACTTTGTTTTCCAGATTCTGCAAACAACAAGCTCCTCCTCAACAGCTCTTACTGAAGCTGCAATTCATGGCTCGTAACTTCTGTCTATCAAGCTCTGGAAGCACATGGAAGTCTTAAGGTACCGCTTGTGACTCTGCACTGGGAAGTTTTTCTTCTGATGATACAGAAGGTCTTTACCAAAAAGAGTTTCACAGTGGGTGTCCACAGCAGCATAGGCTTCTTTAGATGTCTCCATCCAGTGTGTATTCTTTCAAGTGCCAAACACAGCTACAAATTAGTAAACTGCCTCCAAATAAAAGGAGGCTAGCGAAGGGATGTGGTTGCTTTGTGTGGTTTCTTTTCAATGAAGGAGACTATTTCCTTGCTCAGCCTAGCAGAGTTGGACTTGCTGCTGAGATACCAACTTTGCAGATTACAGCTGTAACTACAGGCAAAGCGTTAAAATGCAAGTAAGATTAGTATTATGGGAAAACCTGTTTCTCTGGCCAGAGGATTCCTTCTCCAAACCCCAAGTCTCAGTCACCTAAGACCAATGCTCATGTTTTCCTTTATTCACAAAACACATTTTCAGGATTTTTCTGACAGCAGCAGAATGAACACTTCCCCCCCGCCCCCACCTCCAAACCAGCATTGCATAGCAGATACAAAAGGTGGCAAACAACAGGAAGCAGAATAACACATCCTAGACCACTGTGTAAAACTTCCAAGCGTTATGCCCACAGCTGATCAACAACTTGCTAAAACACTGGCAAAAAGGAGCTGATACCATAACATTTTCTATCCTTTCAGCTCATTGTAAAAATCAGCCATAAATTATTAGTAAGAGGTAATTATACTTTCAATTCACATGAAGATGCCAGCAATTATCAAAGCTGCAGCTTTGCCCCAGTTCTCAAAGTGAAGCAGAAATCTTGCCAGCTGGCCATTCTTACAGAATGAATCATATCTCTCTCACACAGATTTCATACTAACTTCTTACAGTTGCTTTAAGTCACGCAGAGCAGGTGCGTTTAGTCTCTCCATTCCCAGCATGGGCCAACAATGGAAATTACCCAACTTCATTGACAGGATGCAGCTTGTTAAGTCAAATCTCTTAAGACTAACAAATCACCATGAAGAACATGCTTCTAAAAGCTTGCAGCAAAAATGCCGCAGTAAGTTTATAATAAAACCTATTCTCGAACAACATGCAGGAAATTTTTAAAGGAGTGCAATCACCACATGCATACACGTAGAGGCACGGTATACAGAAAGAAGCAACCTATCTTTTTTTTTTTTTTTACTGAAGGGACACAGAAGTGAAAATACATCGTACTAAACTATTAGGAGGGAAAAATACTTATAGACACGATTTTAAATTTTGGAATGACTGCATGTTAAAAAGCAAGAAAACAAGTGTAAACCATTTTTTTGGTTTTTAACTCACATGTAATAGAAACATCCTACAGTAGTGGATTTTATAAGAGGGGGGAAAAATACGCAAAAGCCTGCAGTCGGGCATAAACACTGACAAACGTACTTTGGGCCTCCAGCAGCAGCAAGGGCTATACACACACACACACTGCATTGGATCAGCAAAAACTGGAAATGCTACACTACAGATGGGGTTCACATGCAAAACTCATTCCATACGGAGAGTAAATAGGTCACCACAGAAGCTATCCAAATTGTTTTAAGAGGGCAAATATACTTCCTAAAAACAGATATTAAGCTTAGCAACAAAATGAGTACAAAAATCAAACAATAGTTAAATTGTTCATATGCTTGTAATCTTTATAATTATTCTGGCACAGCGTTCAGCTTGCTGCTCTTTCTTGGCACGGTCCATAGCTGTGTAAGCTTATGTGTTCTCTGAAGGGGCTATTTCTCACAACGCGACAAATATACTAAATCTTTTATTCAGCAGCCACTGCTGGCTGCAAAGGCTTTCAAAAGCAGCGTGTAAAAAGATGTCTATGTCACAGTACATAAAACAAAAGGATTTTTTAAATACAGATTTTAAAGTCTGTAGCAATGCCACCTCAGGCAGATAGCTCTCAATTCTGGACCATGTGCCATCATTGCATGACCCAAAAATCAAGGAAAAAGGGGAGAGAGGGTGAAACAACAACAAAACAAGACAAAAAAAAACAACAACAAAAAAACAAAAACCCCTCATTACCAGGAGAAGAGTTAACTATTCAAAGCAGAGCATACTCTTTAAGGATTGAAATTTAGAATTCAGAACTAAAACACTGTAACATAATGAGAAAAGACAATTTTATGAGATGTATTGTCTCAGAAGAAAAAATATGGATACTCTAGCTGCTCATATGAAGTGTCTGTGGGCTTTACATAAGTGAAGGTATTAGCATCCATCTTCTCATCAAGTCTTCATTTGGAGAGCTATACTTTACCATATAGACAGTCATCCATAATTTAGTAGGCATTATATAGCATTAACTGCACTATCTCAATAAATCAATGTAATCATAAGAGAAAAAGAGATTCCTTTCCCTGCGTATGTTTAATTTCTGCATCACATGCAGAAACGCACAGCATCAGAGGAGATCTTTCATTTCAGCAATTATCAGACATTCCAGATACAAAACGTACAAAAATGACTTTGGTAATGACTTGGTTGGGAATAAGACAGTGACAAAACCCACACATTTTATATTTGAAGGGTCATGTGATAACATCTTGTCCTAAATAAACATTTATATATTTTTTTAATCTTCAGATGTATTTCATTCCTTACAATGACAGAAAATAACTATGTAGCTCTGTTTTTTTTCTCTTCTACAGATAAAAATTTCTACAGACAATATGTATCCAATATTAATACTTAACTATTAAAAACATCCAAGTAGTTCTGGAAGTTCTTTGCCCTTAAGAATCAAAGCTGAAAACGAGAAGGAAATGTTGTTACCTCCTCTGTGTATGTCAGGAGGCATTGCAGGTACCATCATGTTGGTGTCCATTGGCTGGGAGGTATCATGTATCATATGATCTTCCGGAGGCAGGTAAGCAGGAGGAGGTGTATCAGCTAAATATAGAAAAAGGCAGAGATACACAAGTCCTTTCCTCCCTTTAAAGTACATACACATACCCACATAAACAGTTTTAGCCTAGAAATGCTTCCAAGCCTGACTCAGCTATAAACTTCCACCCACCAGAAATCTGAGAAAGCAATCATAGACCTTGATTCAGGAAAGCAAAGAATTATTGTGCATATTAACTGCAACTGCAATAAAAACAAGTCACTTCCCCCCCATCAAGCCATAAAGGAAAGCTTAGCCACGTTGGCAGCCCACAGGTTGAGAATGCCACATAGACATTAAGGCACACAGAGCTCTCTGGATCAGGCCAGAGGTGAATATTAAATATGGTAAATGTGAACAGAATTTGGAACAAAGTTTTCAGTCCCAGCTTTACTGTTTCCAACATGATTCCATCAGCAAATTATGCAAACATTCTAGATATAGCCATAACTTTATTACCATTTTAAAGTATTAGCTCTATTTCCATAGGTAAGTAGCAGCAGAAAATATTTAAGCACCCAAATCCTAAAGAAGTAACCTTCTGGATTGGGATTTTTATTTGCCAGTGTCTCTTAACTGCTGCACCGAGCAGTTAAGAATGAATCACTAGTATAAAACTATCCTGTGCACTATGACCATGCTCACTAAAACAGTGCCATTGCCTTTGAGACCTGTTTGAACCACACTACATGGGTACTTGCATTGCCCTCCAGCTGTCGGTTTACTTCCGAGAAAGCTTCCCAAACAACTTCCTAGAAGCTGGAGGAAGGTGCCAATGTCTCTGCTTCCCAACGCTTCAGAAGACATTTTCCTCCAAATCAATTGCACAAAGATACTTGCAAAAGAGCGAAACCCTTGCCTGATCCCCACTAGCTTTTGCTGCTAAAATCTGGAATTTGATTGTCACTGTTCTACCTCTGGTGAACATGGCTGCCGCTCATCCCACATTCATTTCCATTACTGAGAATATGAACTACAAACTATACATACTACCATAGCAAATAATAATAAGATACCTCTAAAACCTTGAAAACCAAAATAGCAACAACAAAAGCTAGAAGAACCATAGCACTGCTTTGAAAGCTAATGGTGTTTTGGGGGGGAAGGGGGGAAGCCCTTTTTTAGAAAAAAAAAAAAAAAGGGAAACACAGGCTAATGAAATGTATTAGTTGCCTCTTATTTAGGATACATTCTATTGAGAGGTTCATGTCTAATGCTGGCGAGTACACTAGCAATACTTTTTTCCTCTTTTCCTGCTTGATCATAAAAGTGATTCCCTCACTTGCCTGGGAGAGCAGCTAGTAAAGACACAGAGGACAACAGGACTGCATTACAGGCTTTACAGTCAGCACTGGAGTTTAAAAGTCTCATGCTTTACTAAGCCTTGGACAATTGTGTATGTGCAAACATGATGTTAGTGATGCACAGACAGGGAAATGATACTGTAAGGGCCAGAGAAAACAAATTAGCCAGGATCTGGAAAGTTTTTAAGATCTCTGGATAACTGCCTTTCTCCTTTTTTTTGTATTTTCCAAATTTAGCCTCCTCTTT